CACTTTGGCCATTGTTATGGTCCAGGCAAGAGATGATGGTGACCTAGACTTGGGTGATGGCAGTGGAGGTAGAGCAACAGGCAGATTTGAAAAATATTTAGGGTATCAGACCTAAGGAAATTGGAGACCAATGAGATGTGAGAATGAGGTAAAGCAAGGGGGACAAGGATAAATTCCAATTTCTGGCTTAAGTGACTGAATGGATTATACCACATTTACCAAAATAGAGAATACTGGAAAAGACAGGTTTGATGTGGAATATTAATTCAATCTATATTTGGTGAGGATTTACTATGTGCTAGGCACTGGGGATACAGCAGTGAATGGCAACAAAGCCACTCTCATGGAGCTTACATTTAAGTGGCTGGGTTGGTTTTGAACATGAAGACTTTAAGACATTTATGAGACAACCAAGTAGCAATGTCATGTGGAAAGAGTTGAGAAACAAAATATAAATACAGGGGTATTGGCACTGAGAATGGTTACTGAGGCCACAGTGGCTATGAAATCACCAAGGGAGGCATATTAGTTATCTCTTGCTCCATAACAAATAATCCCAAAATATTGCAGCTTAAAACAAATACTTGTTATCTCAAGGTTTCTGCACTGACAGGGCTTAGATGGGTGCCTCTAGCTCAAGGTCAAAAGTTATAATCAAGTTTTCAGCTGGGACTGTGATCTCATCTTAAGACTTGACTGAGGGGAGGGGAATCCATGTTGTCTGGCCTTGGTCCCTCACCACATGGGCCTCTCCACAGACATGGCTCCCTGGGTGAGCGAGCAAGTAAGAGAGTGAGAAGGTGCATATGAGGGCCCCCAAGAAAAACCACAGTCTGTTTACAAACTAACCTCAGAAGTGACACTCCATCATTAAACAGACTGGATTCTATTTATTAGACGCAATCACTAAATCCAGCCCACGCTCAAGGGAAGTGGATTCCACAAGGGTGTGAATGACAGGAGGCAGTGATCACTGGAGGCTGGGAGGAACTGGAGTAAGAAGAGGCCCCCTAAGCCAGAGCCCTTTCAGGATACCAATAATTAATGATTACATAAAGAAAGAAAAGGTGAAGAAGACTGAGAGGAGACACTGGATAAGTAGAGAAAGAAAAAAAAAATAGAAGAATATGGGTCCCAGAAGCCAAAAGAGTTGTAAGGAAGATGGAAGTTCAAATCCACTGAGAGGTCAAGCTGGAAACCAGTGAACCACAGAGACATGGTCTGTGGCTTACAGTCCAGTGGGGGAGACAAATGAAAGCCAAGTAAACAAAAAAGCAGCAAGTGAATTACAGACTATGGAAGTGCTATGAAGGAAACAAGAGTGCACACAGAGAGAACATCTTTTAAAGGGTGGACAGAAGCACTCTTCCTAAGGAGACTGAAATTTAAGAATGAAAAGGAATTGGCAAACTGGGGGTGTGGGTGAAAACATTCATTCCAGGCCAGGCCAGTGGGGTGGGATCAGATTGGCCTGTTCAGAAATTGAAAGGCAGTGGCTGGAATATGACAGGCAAAGGAAAGGAGGGTGTTAGATGAGAACCATGGTAGGAAGGGGTCGTGGATGGGCCCCCAAGGGTAAGCCATCTGGGTTTAGTTCTAAGTGAGATGGAAAGCCACAGATGAGCTTGGAGCAGGAGAGTGAAAGGACTCAATTAAATGACTTGCCAAAGTTACACAGATAGTAGCAAATGGCAAAGCTGGGACTGCAGCTCAGGCCTTCAGAGCTTCAGATCTCCTGCCAATGAGACAGACAAGGAGATGAGAAGCTTGGAGGACAGCGAATTTACAGACATTGAAGAAAGACTGGGACAAGCCAAGGCTCACCTCATGTTGTCTTCAAAATCCCCCATGCTTCTGTGCCAGGGCTGGCCCTCAGTGAGGGGTCTGGCTGTGCCATAAACACCCTCCAATTATTCCTTCAAGATTGTGACAGCCCAGAGGAAAATACTGGAGTTACATCTTCAGGGAAAGATGTTACTGACGCAGTTTAGAGGCAGGCACTTAAGCCACTAGATTAACCAGAGGCTATTCAGGGATCATAGTGCTTTTAATAGCAATTCTTCCCAGAGTTGTAGATGAATTTCTCCCTTTTGTCTTGAATTATTCTAAATGGAGGAACCCGATGGAAATTGAAAATACAGGGAAATTCGTTTCTCTTTTGCAATCTCTGAAGAAATGAGGAAAGATGAAGAACCCATCAGTCAGTACTGTCAGGTGCTTTTGCTTACCTTGTTGATACTAGACTTAATTTCTTTTTCACATTTTAATAAATAAGTGGTAAGTTGGGTGTTTTTTTTTTTTTTTTTTTTAAAGCTGAGCCATCCTGCTACCTGTTGGCAGCTCAGCGGCTGCTCAGCTTGGGCTGGACTCGAACCGCTATTGCTCAGAGCTCAAACTCTTGAGCGAGCTCTTAACCAAGTGAGCCACTCAGCCGGCCCTAAGGGTGTTGTTGTTGTTTTTTTGACAAGAATTACTTCCAAAAAAAATCTAAGACAACGATACAATAGTTTAAGTTTGCATTTTCAAGATAATTTTAAGAGATATTAAAATATAGCCCAAATAGGTAGATTAATATTAAAAGTCTTTGGGGGACATGTTTATCATTTACTAAATGGAAATAAGTAACAATCCAGCGACCTCACAAGAATTTTCGTGTTTGTGGATAACACTCAGGGAGAGGGGAGTGTATTTTCAAAGATCGGGAAGAATTTGAATATTCATTAAGCCTTTTTTTTTCTTTTTCCTGCAAAGTAACTTGAGTTAACAAGAGAAGTCAGAAGGAATCCCTGCTTCGGGGACCTGGTCCTGCCCAGGCTTGTAAGCCTCATGGGGGCAGCACTGGTCCGTTCCACTCAGCCCTTATCCCTAGGGATGGGAACATTGCCCAGCACACATTAGGGAAGCAAATATTTCCCGAATGAATGAATGAATGAATGGTGTACGCACTTGGTGGGCCAGGAGCAGGGATATTAGGCAAAGCCCATACGCGGGTGGAGGTTTAGGGACGACAGAGGCCAAAAGCTAGTGTTGGTTTTGCCCATTTCAGGCATCTGCCTTTCTGACTGGATGCTATTTCCGGTAGTTGGGTCTAGCAGGTCTCTGATTTTCTAACGTATTTCCAGGAAAAGTGTGCGCCTGAGTCGGAGGCCCTGGAAATCCGTGTTAACAGCGAACCCTGAATCTTCCCGCTGCTCTCCCAGCCACCTTTCCCAGGCTCTCACTCCGGAAAAACCCCGGAGACAACCGGATCGGATTCTTACCCGGACAGGCCAAGTTCCTGCAGTTCTCCCGGTTCAGCCGTCCACTCCGAGGGGTCAGGTGCATGGCCACGTCCTCTAGGGCCATGGCAGTGGGGGCGCAGGTCAGTCCTGGGGGCAGGGACAGGGGCAGCAGCAGCAGCACACGGAGCCTGTCGGAGGGCCCAGGTCTGGGGCGCGCTGGAGCAGCCTCCGCCCCGCCCCGCCCCGCCCCGCCCAGGCACTACCCAGGGGTGGGGTTTCCCGGCTCCGCGGGGCGGGGCCGCAGCGGATTACGAAGCCGGCCGGAGGAGTCCGCTCTGTGGAGCGCCGGGAGGGAGGCGAGCAGCAAACTTTGGAAGACCGTGGTTCCCGCCTGGCTGCTCCTTAGTTGTTTCCTCTGTCCGGACACGTGCCAGGCTCTGGGCTACGCGCGCGGAGGATGCCGAACAAAGAGAAACACCACTGTCCACAGGGAGCTTGTGGTCCAGTGAAGCCCACACTAGACAATTAAATAAATGAACAAGATAAGCTCCGGTGCTAAATGCCGGAAGACAACTTACTATCTGGCAGAGGAGCCAGAGCAAGGCAGGATCTGACCCCGAGGGACCCGGGCCTAGGGGCGGCCAGCCCCGAGCCTTTGATGACCCCGAGTCCCCAAGACATGGTGCCATGGGGGTGTCCACGGACCCTGAACGCTCAAGGGACACCGCAGATTCCCCTGAGGAAGGCGCCCTC